TGTAAACTCCCCCACCAGACTTGAGGCAACTATAGACCTTATATTCGTTAATCATACGAAGCTGCTTCTTGTGTGCAAGCAGGCATCGATTAATAGCTCTGGCCACTAAAATATCAAGTTATCTCCTGTGGTGTACAGCGAAGTAAATCATAGGGATCTAACTCGTTGTTCACCTGAGAACATATATCGCATCCAGGAAACGATTTCACTCATAGGTTTTACTACACTTTTTGACAACGATGTATGTACATACTGCGACCAGTTAGAGAGCGACATCAACTTCTGCTTTGATACTTGCTGTCCACTGGAAGCCATTTTCATCGGTACGGATCGGTTTTTATCTCCATACCAAAAACGCTCGCGTAAAATCAAGGAAAAAGCGTTCAAAAGGAAAGACCACGCTGCGATGAAATGTTTTTCCACTTCTATCAAAACTGAGTTGCGTTGTCTAAAACACCTATATGTCCAGACCATAGAGGGAAATAGCAGCTGTCGGCGTTTGCTGAAACAAGTTAGTGGAGTCTCTAACCGAGTGTCAAATCCAGATTCAGACCTGGAAAAAGTAAACCGAAACTTACGTTGCTTCAATGCTAACTCCACCTCGCACCCTTGTTCCCCACGATCGGACCGGTCCACCACCTCCATACCTGTCATTGACAGAAATACAGTGCGCAATAAACAACTAGAGCTAAAATCCAACAAAGAAATTGGTCCGGACGGACTATCACCCGTTGTCCTCAAAGTGTGTGCCAATTCTATGGCCCAGCCTCTTGCTGACCCGTACACCCAGTGCATGAAATGGTGTAAAATTGCTGACTGCTAGAGAAGTGTCAGAATTACACCGGTGCCAAGGAGAGGCTCAGATAAATACCGACCGATTGCCTGCACCTAGGGAAACTTGAAGATATTCGAGAAGATTAATCTTGTAAAGTTGCTGAATTAGACCCATTCAGATGATCCAGTACAGTTTGCTTATGGTAGTTTTAGGTCTACTCAAGATGCATTAGCCTATCTTGCACATTCAGCGCTGTCCTCACTAGACAACAAGGTCAAATCCGTGCGCATGTGTTTTCTCGATTACAGTAATGATTTTGGCAGCGTAAACCGTGAGCATCTTTTAAGAGACCTGCATGATGCCGGAATCCAACTCTCTACTGTCCACCTTGTAAGAGACTACTTCACTGGACGTGCCAAGTTTACTCGATTCGGAGGTAAAGCTTTCTCGCCGCTCACCGGACACTGGAGTTCTTCAAGGGGCCATACTATCTCCATACCACTTTTCCACCTACATCGCCTCTTTACCTGCCCCTGTCGATGCGATATTGCTAAAATATGCAGAGGACGTAGCCTTGGGTATGAAACAACCGACCGCAGCCTCATGAAGTAAATTACAAGCCTATCTTGGCAGTCTTGTTTTATGGTTCAGAGCACATTTTTATCGCTGAATGCATCGAAATTCAATAACGTCATTTTCTCCCTACATAAAGGTCATAGTTATCAGCAACTTATCATGGAATACCCCGAACTTCACATAGATGGCAAGAATTTGCACTCCCGAGTGTTAGTGAAATACCTAGGTGCAACACTCAGTCGTGATCTTTCTTGGGCAGTGCATGCTAATGATGTTTCTATAAAGGTGAGGAAGCTTTCGTTCTAGGCCCCTCGTTTGCGATCCTCCTCTGTCCCCGGCAGTTAATTCTGAGATTTATCACCGCATGCACCTTACCCCTTTGGACCTATTGTTCCACCGTGATATTCCCTAGTCTCCTAAGGAAGCAGTACAAAATCCTAGGTAGGTCATTGACGCAATTATCTCGGTGTAGTGGAATTTTAAAGGCGACCTTTGTGGGGATACTTGTGTCTACCCACATCAATTCATGCATAAGGTTTGCCTCCAGAATACAAGTCATTATGCACTATGTGAATGTGTATCAACATCCAGAACCAGACAAAAGTATAGATCCATTTTTGACTGCACAAGGGCTTACCATTCATCCTTTATTCCATACCTAGCACGCTTTTTGTGCTACCAGACATCAGCTGTCCTGGAGCTTAAAAGCAACCTTGCATCCAAATCATACTGCTGTTTATGCCACTTATTAGTCTGCCTGTGTATCTACTGCATTATTTCTTTTACTATGCTGTAAGCGTGTGTATAATAGCTGAATATTCACCATTATGGGTGCATAAGGCACTTTCTTGAATTGAAAAAACATTGAATTGAACTATCGAGGTGGTGCAGGTTTTGTTCACTCTTCGGCTTAACCACGCTGGGTGATGCTCGCGGGCGCGTTCAGACAAACGTATTGTGGTGCGACCTATTTAACTTCTCTCACAAAAACAGGTAAATTGGTACACACAGGAGGTGACATCCACAGACAGTTTATGCCTCAGTAGGAGGTGTAGCATGGGCATGGAAGTGAATATAATGCGTAACCGCGCGGCCCCAAAGGTGCTAATAACGGTCCCTCGTAATCGTTTGCTAAGGTTCTCGGAACTATTGTCTCCTTTGAACAGCAAAGTAGACGGGCTACTTTCTTACTGTAAGTATTTTAGCGACCACACAATCCATTCGCAGTTTACTAGCAATGATTTAACGTTCGCATCAGCTTACTGAATATCACCAGTTACAAACTCATGTGATATACGTAAGTCTCAAGTCAACTACCTGCGCTTATTGGATACCAATGAGGGATTGTTGCAAGAGGTAGTCCTTCAAGGTGGACAGAAAAGCTTAACTTCTGCTAGAGGACACGTAAGTGTTTCACTCACCACTAGAGGCAAGACAGAGTTAGATAAGACAAAAACCCTAGGAGATCAAATACACGCCATGATGCAGGAAATAATAACTGACGATTCTTGATAATCCTTGTGCGACATACCACTGCAATAACTCTACAGATGGTTGCCGATCCAAGTAGGACTGTTTTCTCGTGGTCCCTTGAGATTTTAAAGTTTAGCCAGGAGATCGTGTTTCAACAGCGGTCACGTCACCAAACTACGTAGGCAGTACCAAACCTGCCTTGGGACATAATAAGCCTGGATCTCACTTGTTATTTAAACCTTTTTGGTTTCTTCAGTTTGAAGAGACACAGCTGAGGGGTAAAGAGGTCCGGTACTCCAGACAGTCGAATAAATGAGGTAGGTATGGTGGGTTTGATAATACAGATTGCCCAACTGTGTATATCAGGAAAGGTGTATTATGGAGTCAAAATACATGGTCAAGTGCATTAGCTTTAACCGGTGAGTTGGTATTTTCCGAAAGAAGAAGTCAATAGAACAAAGACTCGTTATTTGGTTAATGAGCATAAAATAGTCGCAAAAAGAACTGTGTTAGCTAAGTATCAAAAGACATTTTAGCTGGATGAACAAACACTAAACTAAGATGAGGTGAGATTAATTCTCACTGCTTTAGCCTTTTTGGGAACTGATTACTTCCGGTTACAAGATTTTACGATAAATGCACATAATTCGTGGAAAACTCGGTTTGGAAAATTATCAACTGTACCATGCGGTAGTTTGCTAAGCACTTCGATTATCGCTTACATGTTTTCCTGTAGCTTGTTTTTTATACACACGTGGCGATAGTAGTTGTTTCTAAATGACTTACATGCACATTTTGCTATCCCATGATGCATAGTTGCAGATACTGTTACTGTTAAAGAAAGAAAAGTTGAGGTGCTGATTTTTTCAAGGTTGTGTAACATCACTTGAGAACAAAGATCAAGAGAAAAACGAAAGCGCCTCGCAGTTTGCTCAGTCATGTCCTTCCACACACCAGCCACAGAGCTGTTACGAGCCATCTTGATATTCCTAAATGACTTCACTTTTATCGCTTTGCAATCTTTTGAACTATTTTTGCAAAAGGTAAGGATGTAATGACCCGCAGATTTTCCCTGTGCGATTGCCGTACGATGTGAAATATGTACTAAAATTATAGCTTCACAATGTACTTAAGCAGATTAGGCTGGAATGTTGGCCACATTTGGTTGAATCAATCAGACCAGTCGCTTCTGGCGCGCTTCCAAGTACCTGCCAAGAACGTTGTCCGTGACGTCTGGCTACTTTCATTACCCCCCATAGCTAGACAATTTTCAGCAGACTTTAGCTAGCCATACTGCATGTTTCGCCAACGAACGTACATCTCGCCTACGAAGGTCAAACCCGGGGTTATAGCGACTGAACATCGCCGCTATAAGCAGTGCCCACCGTAGTGTTCACTGAAAGGAGAGGGCATACCACCCAACGTGTTCTGTATTCTAAAAAGAATCCTTACATTTAGGAATAGATAAAATTAGAATAGAAGATGGTATACTTTTCAAGCCACGTTGCTTAAACGTTAATTACTGTCGACGATGACGTAGAGTAAAAAATGAGTAGAGAAACATTGGGTAAACTCCTTAAAACAATAATCGCTTAAGTGAATCAAGGGACACTTGGATCCAACCACCAGATGCAAGCGGTGAATGTAACGTACAAATTCAGAATTGTCGGTAATTTAGTGCTAAGTTGCTGTTGCGCAGTGTCGGTTCATGTTGTGTTTTGTAACACCAATGTCAAGAATTCCGTGAGCGCCCTGGTTTGAAGGGTAAAACATAAAAGATTATATAATGTCGTGCCGAAATTGCAACCAGTCGAGCAACAATTATGGTATATGAACTTATGGAACAATTTCGTAACCTCCGTTTGACGCAGAATAGGATTTCGTTTCAGAAACCTCAACCAACCTCTTATGTAACCCATTTTCGACATCTTTTGTTCCTTAACACAATGGTGGTGAAGTAAGTTTGCGCAACTGGATTCCGTGCACGTCGACGTAAAATTTAAAGCAACCGGACCGTTTGGACAACGAAGTTTACTTAGGATGACTGAAAATTCGTTGATAAAAGTGCTTGTGAAAATCTGTTCATCAAATAAAACGGTGTGAATAATTCTAAGCTGACATTTTATGTTTGAACAACTGAACCAATGAGCGCAAATAGGAAAAGCTTCTGACTTACCTGTCCCATCTCTTCGATCAAGTCCGAAGTATTTACCCTGGCCTTCGCATTGCTTTTGGAGTCATACATTGCCAAATCCCACTCAAAGAACATAGAGCCGAAGAACTTCTGTACCTCAATTGTCACGTAGAGGGAAATCGGTATGATGTAGTTATACAGGACCACAAAACCCAGAAAGGCTTGCACAACTATCCATGGAGTGATATCCTGTGAGGGGATGTACCATGTAGCTTGACGCGGCACTGCAAATTTGACTATGCACGATATCGTTGCGCAAATAAGAAGGAAGAGAAGAATCATGGCAAGTGCTAAATTCAGCTTTCTCTCCACCTGAGAAAACTTCGTCTTTTTCCCTTTTGAATTTAAAGTCATCTTCGTATCTTGTCCGGTGTACACAGCACAAGCATAGATGAAATCTGTGTTACGCAAGCACGCTCCTCGTAGTACCAAGTTATTAGGGCCAAGTGGGTAGGTTTGCTTGGAGCCGTCCTCCAGTTCGATGCATATTCTACCATTGAAAGTGTACAGATCATCCACTGGTTGTTGACACGTGATAGAACCACGCAGCTCTTTAACAATAAGATCAGGAGTGTCATATGCCTTGGTTTGTTCAAGTGCAGTGAATCGCTTCAAGTTCGTTTCACCGTCCAGACTAGCAGTAGTGACCAAACAGTCGCCACTTTGTTCACTTGAGCTCAGCAACAACAAATCACATGGGAACGTATCATTTGACCTACAAAGGACGATGTCACCAACAGTGAGCTCTCTTGCTTTAATTGATGTGAGGTGTCCGTCCGCGGAGACAATTTCAACATGTTTATGATTGACCTCTCTGTCAGCCTTGTGTCTTAAAAAATCTTCGTAGCCCTGTTTTACCATAGTCACAGCAAACACAAATAGCAGTGGAATGATGGAAATGGCCGGTGTGACTGGGGAATCGGTGAAGAGCTGTACGACTGCAATGCAAATAAAATAAAAGTTTGCAATTCGTTGTGCTTGTTCCGCCAAATTCTGAAAAACGAATCCATATAGAGTGTATCTAGATGTCTTAATTTCATTGTCCCCATAAAGTTTCTTCAGTGAATAAGGTCGAGTAACGTAGGTTTGTTTAGATATGGGTCCAAGTGGAATGTCTCGTTGAGGAGGCAAGGGAGGCCGTTTTAATCCCAAAACGATGCATAATTGCTGGAACCAGCATTTCAAGGGCCTCATTACTGCACAGTGCCTTTATAGTTTTCGAGATTCATGGGTGACGCAAACACACCCACAAATGACAAACACTTCGGAAGTCTGAAAAGAAATTAGATAAATAGCTACATTATGCATATGTTCCTTATTTGAAAACAACGAAAAGATCGAAGATAAGAAGCATTCTTCTAAAGGTCACTGTGTTACGTAGCTTCCTATTGCCACGAACCCAGAAGAAGAAACTTCATTACTTCCGGTTACTTCAATTCAACAAACTAAACTGTAGCACAGAATAGTTCAGAATGAGGTGGAACAATTCTCCTGAATAGCTCAGGCGGAGACGCAAGCAATTGGGACGAATCACAAACAGACTGCAAGAGGAACAGCGAGGGAACGTCAATTGAGAGGACATACTTGTATGAGGACAAATAAATCAGCATGTAATTGTATCCAAGTTAGAGTACAATGTGCGGAAAGGTCAAGTTAACTGTTGTCTGGATGGTTGGCGTCGCTCGCGGGCTCGGTTAGACCGTACCAAAACTTAGTGCACAACGGCCTGAGTGCAGGTGCGGTGGTTTAAATGAAATGAAAAAGCAGAGGTAAATGTGTACACTCGACATTGTGGATGGCCATACGGAGAATCCGAGCAGCATTGCGAAAGCCTGTCGGCTCAATTCCAAGCGCGTATAAGTGTGTTCAATTTCAAATGGAACTAAAACGTTAGCAGAGCCCCTAGAGGCTCATTCTTGATTAGGCCCTTGAGCCAGAAATCGGTAACATGCTCCGAAACCTAGGGGATCTTGAAGCGGAGCGTTCGACTCACATCTAGCAGTTCCTACCGTACCCATCAGATGAAATAAGAATGAGTAAAAGATAACATGGTAAGGAATTGTATTTACACCAAGGCATGAGGAAGAGTACAGTAAAAAAAAATTGTAGGTCCATATCAGAAGTCCGTTAGGCGCACAGAAAGGCATAGTATTTTCACCCAATGGCATCTGGCTGATACTCAACGCGCTCAGCCGTAGAGTTCTCGACGGTAGGTGTTTGAGAATGAACTCCAGCATTCCACAGCTTGACGGTGAAAGTGAGATTTTATTGTAATCTGTGTTCTGCGGGGTATCACTGGGTAGCCGCGGAAATGGGAAAACTTAGTGGGATTAAACAGAAAGGACAAGCACAGGTTGGCGCTTTCTTTCAACATACGGAATCAAATTTTCTCAAACCAGCTGGCGGCAGACTAAGTATATCATCAAACCAAACAGGCGACCAGGAAACGTCTGTTTTCACATCTATTATATTAAGTTAACTTGGATTCGCAAAATTACATTTTCATGGAGGATTTCTAGCAGACAAGTCACAAAGTAGCAAAAATAAATCTAATCACAACAAAATAAGATGGGTTCAGCTATTTCCCTTGTTTATTTCAGCTAGCAACATATAGTAGTTGGAATGTCTAAATTACATGCAACGGTAGTCAGCGTGCAAAGTCGTCAGTGATACACCGATGATCAAAGCCCGGTTAACTTGCCCGTGTCCCGGCTAGAGGGAAAGAATCACCAGTTCCACTAGGGTAAGTGAAGTTGTTTACAAACTCCACATTTTGTGCTGAAATTTTGGTAAGCTAGAGCAGTTGAGTGCAATCTTGTCTTATAATTACTACAGATGCTCCATTTGGATTCAAGTAAGCGCAGCAATAGACTGCGTCGAGTAATCGAACTACGCGGTAGTTAGGGACCATTTACAATAGGGTTACGCTGGATGTGTTCTGAGATGCTTGCAGACAACATTCTCAAAGCCCGACCGACGTAAGTAATGCAGCGAGCACATCGAAAGAGTTAATGGGTCAATGGAGCAATGGTTTATGACGGGTGTAAAATCGAATGCTTTACAAGTTTCGTAGGGTGGTTAGGGTGAAAAGTATAAGATGTAAAGCAGTGTCGGTGAAAGAAGGCGCGAGATACTTCATTAGCACATGTGCAAATATTCCTGCGTGGAGTTTAAGAGGGTTATGACATCGTCGAGTGTTTATTGCGCCCTAATGCCATCATCTGATGACCATGGGCTACATCACATAGTGTAAATGGGTAAGGGTATCGTCAAGACAGTTGTTGAATAGGGATAAGATGGGGCGCCGGGAGGAAGTTCTAGAGCTGTGATGCTCTGAGGAAGAGAAAGTTACGCCGTCAGTCAAGTCGGCTGTACTGCGTGGTCAAGTTAAACTGATGACCACTCAGATTTTTGTTTTGAATGAGTTTCAAAAGAGTAGTATGCGCGGTTTGGGCTTTTGGGGATCAGATACATCATTGTGACATCACCCAGTAGACGCCGATAACTTCCGCTGTATATACTAAGAGTTTTCGGCTTGGGTGGGCAGGGAAGACGCGATATTCCTATGTTGCTCTTCGTCGCCCTGCGTTGTGCAGTATCAAGCGCCGCGGAGTGGTGCTTCTGCCAAGGTTACTAAGCTTGGATAATGTACTCTGCATGTAGCTTCACTTAAAGGCCAAGCAGTTTTGGAAACACTGAGGCATCAAACTTCCCGAACGCCCTACCAAGGAGGTGAAGTGTTGGTTGGCTTACTTGATGCCCTTTCGGTCTGCCTCAAACAACCAGGGTCAACTTGCACGAGTACGTTAAGATCGCCCACATGAGAAGCTGTGAGGTAGCTGTGAGTGTTCTGATGGCGTGTGCACATAATTTTGCACTTGATGGCTTTGAACTGCAGCATGTTCTCGATGGGCCATGTGTACGCTTTATCAACATCAAGTTGTAGGGCTATGTGGTCTCCCATGTAATGATACCACGCCATAGCCTTAGAACAACGGCAATTAGCAGGAAACTTGAAGGGTATAAGATTAGATCACTTATGAAGACCTAGAACAGGTAGAACCAGAGTGCAGAGCCCTGAGGTACGCCGCACTGGATATCGATCGGTTCAGAAAGGGTGCTACAAACCCTCACATTCAGGTGACATTCAACGATAAAGTCACCTATACTGTCCAGAATGGGGTCACCGATTCCATAATTCTGGAGTTTGTGTAATAGAACGCGATGGATCAAACGGTCGAACGCCCTTCAAAAATCCAAATAGGCAGCATCTACTCCGGCATGCGCTTAGCATCTTCAAGATGTAAAGTGTTGTTACAGGACCACCGGCCACTTGCTGGACCCGCGACAGTTGATGGCGAGGAACTCGAGGAAGTTGATCACTTCACTTACCTCGGCAACTGCATCAGTAACGATGGGCGCATAGCAACTAAAGTCAGTTCACGCACTGCGAAAGCCAGAATTGCCTTCTTGAATCTGCGACATCTTTGGTGACAGAAGAGAGTTTCGCTCCGCCTGAAAGGCTGTGTAGACAAGGCCACAGTGAGGGCCGTCTTACAATATGGAAGTAAACCAGAGCCCCTCAGATCTGAGGATGTGGTACTTTCAAATTGTTGGAGGTGAAAGAAAAAACACAGGTATACTTGTGTAACCGTTCATAACTGTCGACTAGAGTTTATTCTGTGTTGCAGAGCAATTGTTACTACCGCTTGTTACATACCCCTCACACGTCCCGTGGTTCTTTGAAATCGATAAATTCAAATTAGCCCTCAGCCGTGATTGGAACTGAATGTAGAGTGTTTTCATACCCACGCCGGCCCGTGTAGTGTTCTGCAAATATACCTCCTGTCCGGTGCGTGTCTTTTTGACTCGTGGGGCGCAATCTAAGAAGTCGAACGCCTGGGGACACAACAGATTTTCTGGCGACGGAGGTGTTGAAAATCATGACTATTTCATTCGAACAGATGCAGCAGTTACATTTTGAAAAGTCTCAACGGCAGTTAATTGACTTGTTATCAGAAAAACTGCACATCCAGGTGGATTGGGAACCGGAACCCGTTTCGACATCATATGAACTTGAAGCTGAATGCCATAAGCGGCTCAAATTGAACAACGACACAAAAACGATTGAAGTCTCAGCTTCCAGAACAGAATCCCAATCCCATCATACAGTTATTGGTGGCCAAAAATTGAGGTGTAATGTGCCGGACCGGAAGCCCCCGACAACATTATGGAACGGTGATGGGAGACATTCTGTGAGAAATTGCACCCACAAAAATCATCATTGTCAAAAGGCGCACCAATTCAGATGCGCGTATACTCCAAGGTTACAAGCGAGTCCCAAATTCAAAAGAAACAGGTATCGCGGCCCAGTGAGAGAGACGGCTTTTGCAGTATTTCGTACACACTTTTCAAGGAAGAGGAAATACCCCACAGTGAAACGCAAGGATGTCCCGATATCGCTGCTGCCAGAAACGTTGCATGCTCTCAAGAGCCTTTCTCGTGGAACCTGGGCAAGACTTGGCACATCGTCAGTCAAACCTACCATTCTAACGGTTCAAAAGGTTTTAGAGGAACCTCTGCAGCTGAAAGGAAGAATCGCCTGTGAACGCAGACTCAATGATTTGCTACACTATGGAAAAAGCTACGCAGTATACTGTACCAATGTTAAGCTGCACGGAACCAACCGGATTACGAAGTTAGACTTGCTCAAAGAGTCAATGACTCATGTGAGTTCGGTAACGTCTGTTACTCTCTGCAATATTGGTCGTACCTGTTCCAAATTCTTATGTCTTTACCAGCTACCAGTACGGACGACACTGATGTCTTGGCCGAAGCCCAAACCCCCATGGTCGCAGATCCAAGTGGACCTAGGTGGATTCCCACACCGAAAGAGTTACGTGAACCCCAGGTAACCCGCATTTTTAAGAGGGAGGTGTTGGAGGTGAAAGAAAAACGCAGGTATACTTGTGTAACCGTTCATAACTGTCGACTAGAGTTTTTCTGTGTTGCAGAGCAATTGTTACTACCGCTTGTTACATACCCCTCACACGTCCCGTGGTTCTTTGAAATCGATAAATTCAATTTAGCCCTCAGCCGTGATTGGAACTGAAGGTAGAGTGTTTTCATACCCACGCCGGCCCGTGTAGTGTTCTGCAAATATACCTCCTGTCCGGTGCGTGTCTTTTTGACTC